ACTAAACTAAACTAAACGTAAACGTAACGTAACGTACACTACTAACTACTACTATACTACTACTACTACTACTACTACGTACTACGTACTACTACTACTATCTACTCTCTCTCTCTCTCTCTCTCTCTCTCTCTCTCTCTCTCTCTCTCTCTCTCTCTCTCTGCCAACAAAATTTTCTTAATGTCCCTCTCTATTTCCATACCTTATAAAAAAGCATGCTGCTCTCCCCCTTGGATTTACCACAAGACTCACTAAATACAACCAAATAAATGGCGATAAACCTAGCTACCAGTTTAAGCCTTCAGTGAAAAGAGAGAAGCCAGTTGCATGAGCAGTATGAAATAAGCATAAGCCACAGATTATGTCTGTGTGTAGAGAAATCAGATGCATAAATTATATTAGAAATACAAGCAAAAATTATATTAAGTAAGCATAAACAGATGCATGTGTGTGTCTAGAGAGAGAGATGTAACCAACAGCCAGCTTGCTTGTTAATTAAAATCTTGACAACTCAATCGGACACCAGAAACACTTCTTTGCTATGGCCAAATTTTTGCGCAAACACATTGTCAATTAAAATTTTGACAACTCAATCGATCATAAGAAACACTTCTTTGCTATGGCCAAATTGTTGCGCAAACACAAACTTTGTTTATTAAGCATAACTAATAAGACCCAATAATCCAGCTTCATACCACATTGCATCTTACTAATAAACTTGAGAAATCTAAGAATTTAAAAAACAACACCTAACGCAACATAACTAAGAGAAGAGAAACAGGAAACGCCAACAAAAATTTTACTCACAGTGAGCAAAAAGAAAAGAAAATGAAGGAAACCAATCAAAGAACCACAACCCAAATTCAACAAAACATTGACAAATTCCTCATCAATCAATGACCAAATTTATTTCTTTCTGCTTGCTAACCAAACAAATCCATCTCAATAATCGCAATACCAAACCAAATTCCCTAAAAGACCCAGCAATTTAATGGTTCTTTCTGTCTCTCTCTTTGAAAACCCAACAACCCAAATCTGCAAAACTTTGGAATCAGTTCCCATCAAAGGATCATTTCTATCTTCACAAAGCCCCATCTCCCATCAAACTAATTCCCAAACGTCTCATCAAAACAGCATATCAAATCAAAATCAAAAGCCAACCCAAAAAAGGATAACAAAGTACTAAAAAACAAAACAAACCACATCAACAAAAAACACCACATCACCAAAACTCAATTATCAAGAACCATAACACCTAAAACACGATCACAGCGACGATCAAAACAATGAAAATACAAAAGAGATGATAGATTATGTAAACAATGGTAATCATAACTCACAGGAGAAGTGACAACAAGGGCATCAGACTCCTCTCTCTTTCCAGCCTCTGAGAATTGATGATAATCACCAGGATTCGCAAATGAAGGCTTCGAAGAAGAGAAGGGAAGGTGTCTTCTCAGTGGTTGATGGATTACAGGGCCCGGTGGCTGGTGCACGCGGTTCAAACCCCTGCCCCCCGACATAACATCACTCTCTCTCTCTCTCTCTCTCTCTCCTC